TCGAGTATTAATACCTTTTATGCAGAACGTACGCTAAGTGTAGTTAGTAAAACACTTACCAATGCTTGTTTTGTTTTCATTTAATGAATATTTTGTTTTGCATAACTCTTTGTAAGCAACCTTCAGCTGCCCTGTCTTGTTCATCGTCTGAGTGGCTATTTTTTCGGCTTTTTCCTAATTTTCACCCGCTATACTTGTGAGTCAAGCTCATGATGTTACCTACCGATAGTGTGTTAATGCTACAGCCTTGTTTAAATTCCTAAAGCATTACATGTCGAGTATGCATTTTTTACTATCCATTTCTAAAGTTAAGAAAAACGGTTAAATGTAACATTAATTATATAAAAAAGTTGACAGAAGACTAAATATTAGTGATATCGAAAATCCGTTTGTTTCAGTGACTTATAGTGGGTAAATACGAAAAATAGATTCTACATAGTCGCATCGGAAGTTACTTATGACTCGACCAATATATAAATAAAATACTATTTTATTATATAATATATATAATATAATATATAATAAAAATATAATAAAAATGTATATGAAATAAGATACAATACTGGACGAAAGTATAAGACACTTTTAAATTGCATTTTTCAATACAATTATAATATTAAAATTCATTTTTTATATGCAGTTGTGTCACACACATACACACATTCCATATATTATATGTAACTTCTAGAATATATTAAAACAAAATCTTGAATTAAAATGGAAAAATATAACGCTGAAATTGTAAAACATAAAAATGTCACAATAATCAAAATTTGATTGGACAAGAGTATAAAATCAATATTACAAAATACGAATTCCTTTCATGAAAATGATTTTTTAATGTTATATTAATATTCAACAAAATCACATTTTCGTTTTATTCCATCTAGCACAATCGTTCTCGTATCGATTTATATAGTTTTTCAATATTTTTTTTTACTGCTAATGCACTACACGTTTCAATAATACATTCTTTTAATTCATTAAAACATTTTAAAATTGTTTTCCATTAAAATAAACACTTTTAAATAAATTACTCTTAAATATTTGCATCATATTGATACATATCTTGGATAAATGTCCCAAGAATATCATCTTTCAAAAAAATTAGCAACAATCCTCGTAAAATTACAAAGTATTTTTCTGCATTTAATGTTCTGATGATAAAGCGAGGCCCAATTATTTGATTGTTTGGTTGTTAACAGCAAATTTAATATTACAATAATAATGATGATGATACATTTTAAAATGCATCACAGCTCACGGAAATAATTTTGAATATTTAGCGTTATAAAAATAAATCAAATAAATTTTAAACACCGAATTTTATTTATTCCATATTTCTGTGTTAAAGGTCATTCGAAGTTCGTATTGTATTACACTATTAAACTTGTCTAAATGTCAGCTAAAATTATGCATAAGAAAAAAAATTGCAATTCCATTTAAACAAAAACCGTTGGTGACCTTGAAAAGATTAAAAACAAAAATAATGACATTACGATGACCATATTCATCCTTCGAAACCATTTTAATTCTAACGTAGCTATAATTCATATCTTCAAATCTAATTTTCTAATTTTCTAATTTTCTAATATTCAGGTGTCCAGTTTTTCTTTTGACTCACTTTGTATAAAGGTGTCTTATACTTTTGTTTAGTACTGTATAATTCCTAATACTAGAATAAAAAAAAACAAATTTACCTTGAATTGAAAGTAGGACTGTAATCGGTTTGGCTTTCACTGCTTTCAGTATCAGGACTATAATGTCTCACAACGGAAGGTGGTGTGCCACTGGCATAACTACCCTTTCTTGAACGGTTTTTATCGGTTGAATGTTGTGTCGATGCACCGCTGTCTCTACGTACATGAGTCCAATAATCCTATCAATAGAAAAACATCGACGTTAACGATAAATGTTGTCATAATAATAAATATAAGAATTGTTAAATACCTGTAACCTTGGAGGTGGTTCGCTACGATGAGTATAATGTCCGGATGATCCACCGGAATCTCTTGCAGTAGCGCCATGGCTCAATTTACTCGAGCCAGATGATTTTTGTGTTCTGCCACCGGATGATAGAACACTACTTGCATCTCCACCACCAGAGCCTAACGATCGTCTGATGTGACGCGTACTAAATACGTTTGATAATAAACAACATTTTTTCTAGTTCTAATTGTATTCCCTTTTTATTATCTTTTTGTGTTTTCTTTTCTTTAGGTAATAATTTTGTGATAATACCTGCGATAACAAATAGCGTCACGTTTGAAACTATGCTCGGAATAATCCGAACTGGTCTCGCAATCTAGACAATTGTTGACACCGTGATGATGTCCAGGTTGTTTGGCAGATGATTTGGTCGAGTTACGTGGTGATAATGAAGCTCGACGATGCGTACTGGTATGAAGATCAGGCAATGATTTATGGCAAATCGTATTCTCCGCTGACGGGGAAGTATTAGATTTTCTACTAGCTGGACCGGACGTATGAGAATGCGAATTACTTCGACCAAATTTGAACCTAACGTCCGGCGGTATACAATGCTGAAAAATATTATAACATTTAAATGAATGATCGGATAAAATGAATTATTTACAAAAAATATATATATATTGAAATGATCATAATAAATAATGTGTGTTGTTTGTGAATGAAAATCTTGAAATCTTCTTTACCGATGCACGGTCATCGTCTCGGCAGCCAGGTGATAAACTGCCAGGTGAATATCTGAACTTTTCTTCGCGTGTGGGGGGACCGTTCGTAGTTTGAAGACAAGTAGCCTGTGTTGGGCTTTCCGGGAAGAAGACGTTCTCCTTGCTATCAGTGTTGAGTAATCTCCGTAATTTTGTCTGCAATTGATCCCCGCTCGTAGCACTCGGTGGCCCTGAAATAGTGCGCCGCTGCGGAACAGGGACTAAGCGTGGGCTCTTTGGTGGCAGCGCGGGTGGCAGTGTTTGTTGAGGACTCAAAATCCCATCTGCTGATAAATATCATCAACAATAAGCTCTTATTATAATTGTAGATTACAAACAAGATATATTATCATATCAATAGGATCAAAACATGAGATTCTTAACTATCTCGAAATTATTTAATCCTTCGAAACATCATTATTGATTTTAATCTAATATACATGTTACATACAATAAATACAATTAACAAATATCATTATTTCATCTCTTAGACACGACGCGCCACTGTAGTGGCTTTTGCGGATGTCATCTCTCTGAACGATGCGCCACTATAGTGGTTCACTCTATTACTTCACTCGATCACCATTTGTAAACTAACTGTATTATTAATTATTAAAGTAAATTTTCAAAGTTAAATTATGTGTATCATGTTATTAAGAAAAATTATAATTTAATCATCGAAAACTTCATTTCAATATATTCGCATATTATAGTTGTACCCATTTACATGCAATTCTCATTGACCTCTGCCGTGCAGAAAAACATCACCGCGCAAAATTCAGCAATCGTGCCTAAGAGATTAAAATAGAATACTTATTAAACGATCAATTTGAAAAGCCATGTAATACACAAATATTGACCAATCAAGCAAAGAACAATTAGATATGATTGATCTAAGCTAAATGTTTAGGTAAAGAAAGAGAAATTGATGATGAAAAATATTTACTTCTATCCTGATCGTGACACGTGGCCCAACAACAGGGTGGTGTTACAGGGTTAGATATTTGTGATGGCGAGGGTGATTGTATCGAGCACGGTACACCTGCTGTATTTCCACATTTCCTAAGTAACCTAGGTGGTGCACTAGGTGCACTCAGCTGAGATACTTGAAGATGACCGCTATTCTTGAGTTCCTGTTTACGGTCCAAGACAGTCTCGCTTTTAACGTAAAATGCTTTTGTTTCTTGCAATAATTCCACTGCACTTTTACGTTTTCCTACGATTAAATAATAATAATTATTATTATTATTATTATTATTCTCCTCGTTAATTTTATTAAGTAATTTTAATGTTTCCGCTAAAAATATATGAAAAAGTAAGATAACGATTAAATGAAATAATAACGGACGTTGATTACCCCCGATGACGAAAACAAACGATTTCTAACGTAAGATCTTTAGATAATACATATAAGAATAAAAAGAGAAAAAAAAAAGAAAAAGTGTTCCTTCCAAACTACATAACAGAACGTTAAGAGTTAGTCACAAAACAGGTTTTATGAGATTTCGGATAAGCGAATTCGACTACTCTTGCCGAAGAGAATCTTGGCAAAGAAGAATCTTCAAAAGGGTCAGGACAAAAACTAGTCTGTGTCGTATTTTCAAGAAAAAGAAAAAAAGACTTTTACAAAAGAATCTTTCCTAGGGTAGTAAAGTTGAACAATAATAGTATTAACATTAAAAAGAAAAAAAAAACAAAAATCGTTATACTAGACTAAACTTGAAAGGGAAATATACCAACACAACAAAGTATCATCTATTTCTTTAGTAAGAAGAAAAGTTTTTCGTTTTTGATTAGAAAGAATGAGCCAGATGTGTCTGGTGTATTATCTTAAGCATATCCTCTTTTTTTTCTTCCTTTCATGTTTATAAACAGGGGTGTCCCGTAACTGGTAGCACGAGCAGAAGACAGTAGTTGATTTTTCATATGAAAAACTAAGAAAAAGAAAAAAAAATGTAAAATTCAATTTTATTACACGCGAGGTTTTGTTTTTGAAAAAAAAAAAAAAAAATATGTTTGAAGACTTTGTCGAGTACGCTTGCACTTGACCCAAATTCAATTCGGAGTATTTCACTGTCTTATTTACTTTCCAATATTTCGGAATAACATTTTTATAATTGTTAATGTGTTTATAAAATATTCGTTAGTATGATAAAATCTTTTGTATCTCAATTTTATCCTTATCGAACAAGATTTTTAATTTCTAAGGTTGCAAGTTAAGTTCAAGGTTGGTTTAATTAAGTGCACGTGTACTCGACAAATTTTCAAACTTGTATGAACAAATTGTATTCTTCTTCATTTTTGACTGTATTTTTCTTGCAGAAAATCAGTCATTGGTTGTGCCATCAGTAATTACGGGACACCCTGTATATACATATGGAATATGTCAAAAGTAGAAGTCTTTTTCTGACTATTACTAGAGTACTGTTGCTACCGCAAATCAGAGACATGTGTAATAGCTTTCACTCTAATACAGAAACGTTTTTCTTTCCTCGTTTGTGCGTGCATCTGTAGTAAATATACATGTAAATATATACAGGTGAATTAACATGAGTAGTATTCATATTCGTTCTTACTACAAATTTAAAATAATTAATATTTATTTGTTATTCAATGTTATCACAAATTATTGAATACAAAAACATATTTTAGGATTATTAAAATTTTAAATTAAAATAAATGTGATTATAGAACAAGATTTTATTGTTAGATAATTGTTATTTTACTTTAACATTAGATACATACCACCATTTTCAGTATACCTATTCCTACCACACTAGTCAAAATGACTGGTGTATAAAAAAATGCTTTTTGAAGCTTCCAGTCTTTATTTACTCTTAAAAATAACAAAAAATGTTTACTAATAATAATTTTAATAGATAAATGGATTTATAGACATTTTTAAATAACAAAATGCTTAATTATTTACAGAACTCAAATGTTACATGAACTAGAAATTTTGAATTAAAATGGCCCGACCAATCAAAATGACTAATTTGGTATATCTAGTGCTAAATGATAAACAATTAAGTATCATAAGAGTATTTACTTATTTTTCATTTACATATGGGGTATTCCATACCAAATCAACCACTTTTAACCCTGACCCTTTTCGATTTGGCTGAAAGTTTTTCATCCTATTCTACCCTATGAAAAACAGTTCTCAGAATTTTTTCAAATTTTTTTACTAAACCCAAAAAAAATTATTAATTTAAAAAAAAAATGGCTTTTTTTTAAATGGCTATAACTTCTTCAAAGTTCAACCTATTGGGACGTTTTTTTTTTTTTAATTTTTGTTTTTAAATGTACTTTCGAGAAAAAAATACAAAAAAATTTTAAGATGATAAACTCCCAGAAATTTTCGCATTTTTTGAGAAAAACCGTTATTTTCTCGAAGTTCGCCATTTTTAATTTTTTTTTTATTTTCTAAAACAAATCTTTTACTAACTCTGCGATTATCCCCGCCAATTCCAGAGTGGGCCGGGTTAGTTTTCTATTTTTTTTTTAACTTTGTTTTTTGAGACTATAAATTGAGTATATAATATTGTAAAATTGTTTAATTGCATAATTTTATTATATAAACAAAGTTTAAAAAAAAAAAAATTAACAATATTGAAAATTTAAAATATTTTTTTCAATTAAATAAAAAAAATAGAAAACTAACTCTGCTTATTCTAGGATTGGCGAGGATAATCACAGAATTAGTAAATGTTTTTTTTTTAGAAAATAAAAAAAAATTTTAAATGGCGAACTTCGAGAAAATAACGGTTTTTCTCAAAAAATGCAAAAATTTCTGGGAGTTTATCATTTTAAAATTTTTTTATATTTTTTTTCTTAAAAGTGCACTTAAAAACAAAAATTTAAAAAAAAAACGTCCCAATAGGTTGAACTTTGAAGAAGTTATAGCCATTTTAAAAAAAGCCATTTTTTTTTTTAAATTAATAATTTTTTTTGGGTTTAGTAAAAAAATTTGAAAAAATTCTGAGAACTGTTTTTCATAGGGTAGAATAGGATGAAACACTTTCAGCCAAATCGAAAAGGGTCAGGGTCAAAAGTGGTTGATTTGGTATGGAATACCCCATATATAAATAATACAAACGAAATATTATAATATATCATTTTTCTCATTTTTTTCTCATTTTGTATCATTGTAACTTATTTTGTACATTTTTGTTAGGTTAACTTTCTTATCAGTTATATATCCAATTTTTTTATTACTTTTCTTATATAATAAAAAATGCTCATTTGCTATAAAAATTTATATGAACTTAAAAATTGAATAATCATAAAATTTGTATATATTGTAAGAAAATATTGAGATTGTTTTAATTTGATAGTTGGGATACTAAATATTCCTAGAACTTACTCACTGTATGTATACATCTATATAAGGATGTTAAAAAAAAAAAACTATTCAATATTTTTCCAGTAAATAAAACACGTTATTATAATGACAATCCGTAAAAAAAAAATCTTAACAAACATAGGTCAAAAGTTCAACTTTTTTAAGTTACCGACATATTAACATTTTTGTATGTTAGTATCGTGATTGACTTATTGGGTTCTTGAAGCATTTAATACTAAACCTACCCACGCGCGGTTAACAAATGACCGCGTCCGATAATTTGTAAAAAATGCGATGAAAATACATAAAATGCAATATTATTCATTTATAAACAAAAGACAATTATATTGGTCACTATTCTATTGGCTAAAATCTCATTCCATATTAAGATACATATATATATATATATATCTTTATATATAAAAATTCAAATTCAGTGTCACAATATGTTTGTCCACTAATAATTCAGAAATTACTGAACCGATGTTAATGAAATTTTTTTTATTTCGCATAATTTTTTTCAACTTAGAATATAGGATAATTTTTATCGCGATTATTTTTTATTTCTTATTGCTAATTTAAGGATTTATTATTTAAAGGTTATCTAAGTATTTGAGTACTGGAAGTTTTCAATAGATTGCGCTAAATTACAATTCAATTATTTCACGTTTTTTTCAAATTTACATATGACACAACTTTTAATATTTTTTCATGTATTGTTATTTATATGTTATATATTATATATATTAAACATTTTATGTTGTATTATGCCTTATTTGAATTCCTAGAAATGATAAGTAAATATTAATTTGAATGAACATTAAATACTTTAGAATCATATTAAAAATCAACATGTTTTTATAACAAAACCACAGTAACACGTGGCTGTAGCACCTGAGTATATTATTGTTATTGAATTATTATTGTTGTTAATATAAAATTACCTGTGTGATCAACATGCCGATGATGATTTCTAACGTAAGGTGGCGTCGGATGCCTAGCTTGCATATCCCAATAAGTATTACGACTATTTCCAAAATTATTAACTCTTTGTTGTTGCGAGGGCGAGGATTGCTTACAAGGCAACCTGGCCATGGCGGTCATCATTTTATTTATCTACACGACGCGCTATATAAATCGATTATGTTAGCGGTCCTCGTCTTATTCTGATACGTCGTCTCTTCGACCCCATTTTCGGTTGATGATCCTTCCTCCTATTCTGTAACATAAAAAAAAAACACATATAATAATCGATCGATTAATAATTAATGGTAATTAGCGATTTAGAAAATAGAAAATACAAAAAATAACTAAAAAAATGATCAAAAAAAAGAAAAACATATATAATAATCGATCAATTAATAATCAATAATAATTAACCTCTTAGGCATGGCTGAATGTTGCCCGATGCTGTTTCTCTGTACGACAGGGTTCAACAAGAATTACGTGTAAACGATAAAACTACGGTGTATGACCAACAATGGCTATTCTCTACGCGAGTACATTTTAATAAAATTTTTCATGAATAAATTATAATTTTTCTCTAAAAAAATAATACACATTTACTTTAATTTAAACAATTTACTTTAATAATTAATAATAAAATTGGGTATGATATATTTTAAAAGATGTTTTCTGCGACAGCCACTACAGTGACGCGTCCTACTGGAAGATAGCATCAGCGACAGCCACTATAGTGGCACGTCATACTGGAATATGGCATCCGCGAAAGTCACTATAGTGGCGCGTCGTACTGGAATATGGCATCCGCGAAAGCCACTACAGTGACGCGTCCTACTGGAAGATAGCATCCGCGACAGCCACTATAGTAGCACGTCATACTGGAATATGGCATCCGCGAAAGTCACTATAGTGGCGCGTCCTACTGGAAGATGGCATCCGCGAAGCCACTATAGTGGCGCATCCTATTGGAAGATATTTGCGAAAGCCACTATAGTGGCTTATAGTTATAAGTTAACGATTTAAATAATAGAAAGTAGTAAAAAAGAACTAGGAAAATAATCAAAATAAGTATCATAAGAAATAAATTTCATAATTTTCAAACACATATTTAAATCTCTCTCTCTCTCTCTCTCTCTCTCTCTCTCTCTCTCTCTTTCTCTTTCTCTCTGTCTTATTACATATTGCAAAAGAATATTTTTCTACCGATTAAATTTCCCCTGTATATAACATTTATTTTACTTTCTGTATACTTTTATACTCTCTATCATTTTCAAGAAAAGACCGTTATGAAACTAGCAAGGCCGAATTTATTTCAAATGGAAACTAGGACTCTCTCTCTCTCTCTCTCTCTCTCTCTCTCTCTCTCTCTCTCTCTCTCTCTTATCTTTCTATCTATTCAACTGTCACAACACAAATGCGCAAGTAAAATGTGTACCCATTTTTATTTTTTTTTTTATTTTTTTTTTCTTCCTTTTCCTTTTTCTTTCTTTTTTTATTTTTTTAATTAACCCGATTGTTTTATGAAAAACAAAGCAAAAATAATGAATTCAAGGTTAAGGGTCAATCAATCGTGTTGGCCATTATTTGAAATATCGAGTATCTGAATGAATGGAATGAGAAGAGGGATGGGGAGGAGGGAGAGAGGGAATGGTAAAGAGGCGGGGATGAGGGAGGGAGAGAATGGGAGAGGGGGGAAGGTTTGAAGTGACATCAAGAGTAGGAAGGTACGTTGTTGTAAACACAATTATGAACAACGAATGATTGACATTTATGTGACAGCTTGTTGAAGTATTATAATCAGCAGTTTAAGGGGGGAGAGGTGGGGTTACACATCTAAGTTCTTGCGTATATACAAATTTCGTAGAAAAATTATTTTTTACGGGGTTAACAAAAATTCCTACCTTAAAATGTTATCTCGTTAAATTATTTGGGAAAAAAAATATATTGGGTTGACAAGAAAGTAATTTTGGTTTTCTAGTGTGAAATAAAACTCAATTGTTTCTAAACTAACATATGTAAACAAAATTATACGGAATTAGTTTCTATAGCAACCTAAAAGTGTCAACTACCAAAACTCAACAGAAGAAATTCTAACATTAACAAAAGAATAACGAAACAAACATAACACTATCTATTGGTACAAGCAGAAATTACTTTCTTGCCAACCTATTCTATATAAAGGGTATTAACCCTTATCGGTCGTTAGGTTCTTTTTTATTATATCGATGATTCTCCTTAATAAGTTATAAATTAAATGTTTCGATAAATTTGTAACTCAATTAGTCAATATTTTATAAGAAAATATTAGATAATTTATTATTTATTAGAAATTATGTTTTTTTTATTTGTTTTTTTGTATTTGTATATATTTGTAAGAATACTACAAATATATATGAAATTATTAATTAATTATTAAATAACATTTTTTGTATTTGTAAGTCACTTCCCACGTGATTTACGACCGATAAGGGCTAATTAATAAAGAAATGAATTATGATATGCGTATTTTTAGTTTAAAATATAAATTTGGTTAAAATTCGTGTACCATTTAAATATTAAACTTAACCTATACCACTACTATGTAAGCATCAATTTTTATTGCGAGTGGTCAAATGAATGTTTAAAAAAAGGAAATATATTTTAATACTTAAATAAAATCGCATATTATTACACCCATAGTAGTTTTCATTATTTCTTCAACGTCATTATTGTAAGATAATTTGAATTTTTAAATACGAACCCCCATTAACTGTCAAATTGTTTTGTTTCGAAAATATTTATATTTATTAAAAAAATTTCAAATGAGGATTGTTGCTGAGTTGAATGAAAAAAAAACTAATAAGAAAAATTATTTCGGTATTATTATCGTTATTTATAATTATATTTATACAAAAATAGTTATTATTTATGCTATTTTTTCTATACAGTCCACATGTAATCCAGTAGTGTACGTAAAATTCCAAAATCCCCAAATGGGCAGAATCCCCAAATCGAGGCAGCTAATAAGGTTAAACTAAATTATATTATCCAGTGCTATAAAAAGTAGAAAATGAGTTTTGGTACAAAAATTTTCTTAATTTATGAATCATGTTATATAACAACGAAATCGTATTGTAGGAGGGCAGGGTAGGAATTATACCTGTATATATAAAATAAAAAAATCTACTTATTTATTAACGTTATAACGCTAATATATATATTATAAAGGTAGTTTAATAATTTACCGTGGTATGATATTTTGTTGAAAGCAACTTACTTTGTACAAAAAGATAAAGCGGGAGAAAAAGAATAACAAAAAAGAAAAAACAAGAGATAATAAAAATGAGAAATGACTCGTTGAGCTGTCTTTTACGTTTGAACAATTGAAACACGAGAGAAATCTCGTGAGAGATAATTTTGAAGTATTAAAATACAAAATAAGATTTTATACAATTGGATGATAGCAATGAAAATATTTCCTTTTTCTTTTTTTGAAATTGAAAAATGTAATATTTTTCACAATATGTGAATATCGTGTAATATTTTGTGTATATATGTGTAATGTGTAAATATGTGTAATATTTTACACAAAAATGTGTAAAAAATTTTTTTGTAGATAATACAAATGAGAAAAGATTTACCAAAACAATTATCACATTTTTTTTTTTTTTAAATTACAAGTCATTTGACTGAGCGTGGTAGGTAAATTTAGTGTTAATAGTCTCCCCTCCCTTCCCCTCCCGCCGAAAATTGAAAAAGGATGGATAGAGGTTAGGAATGGAAATTGAAGGATCACCTTGACCTTGAGTGCATAAAGAGGTAGCTGCAGCCAGCAGCAGCACACGTGCCGTTTTACGATATCGACTTGCTGTCAGAGAGTTCCGGTTTGTAGCGGCCGCGACCGGACACGTCAGAAACGGTTGCGGGACTGGAGGAATATAGTTTTGTTATAGGTTTGCTATCGAATGTGGAAGAAGAGACGACGACAACAAACGGAGGAGAGGAGTTTTTGTTGCTTTTCATTCATCGCACGTTTCTTCATTCTTCCCTCTTACTTTTACTTTTCGTTTTATAGTCTTATTTTTACATACATCATACATACATTCATTCATACATATATATATATATACAGAAATTCATTGTCAGAATGTTTATCCACTAATAATTTCGAAACTACTCAATTGATTTTAATGAAAAATCTGTTTGATTTTTTCCAATTTAAAATGAAGATAATTTTTATCGTGATTATTTTTTATTGCTAATTTAAAGATTTGTTATTTAGAGGTTATCTAAGCCTCTAGGTTTTGTAAGTTTTCAATAGATGACGCTATATTGTAATCTCAATTATTTCACGTTTTTTTCAAATTTACATATGACATAACTAACCTTGCTTTTTATATTTTTTCGTGTATTATTATTTTATGTATTCCATTGTAATTTTAAGATTATTTTCTTTGTTTTTGTAATTTACTAAATAGTTTAGAATTATATTAAATCAACATTTTATAACAAAGTCACTAAATATATATATATATATATACTTTTATTGTTCTTGTATAATCTCTATGATAAAGATGAATTTCATTTAAATTCCTTTCCTTTTCGAGAAAAAAAAATTGAAAAGAAACCAAATCTACTTCCGTATTGAAGTTAATCCCCAAATTAAACTATTGGTGGAAAAATTAAATGGCATAATTGTATGAGCCAATCACGATCGAAAATATAGTAAATCGCCATTACTACACTTGAATGAAATCTTTTTAATAACGATAAATTTCATTTAAAATCCTTTCTTCTTATTCGAAAAAAGAAGAAAAACAAGTATACTTCCACATAGAAGTTAACCACCCCCAAATTAAACTATTGATGGAAAAATAAGTTGGCATAATTGTATAAACCAATTACGATCGAAGATATAGTAAGTCGCCATTACTACACTTGAGTGAAATCTTTTGGATAACGATGAATTTCATTTAAATTCTTCTCCTTTTCAAGAAAAATAACCAAATCTACTTTCGCATCGAAGTTAACCCCCAAATTAAACTATTAGTGGAAAAATTGAGTGGCATAATTGTATGAGCCAATCAGGATCGAAGATATAGTAAGTCGCTATTACTACGTTTGAATAATAACCAATCACAAGATGATTTAACGTACATCGTAGATACATCAAAAATAATATAGAACGATCGATAAGTATTATCGATATGTATCAGAAGCATCTTCAGCAAGGACAGAAGAAGAATTATTTTTAAGCGTTTGACGATTGAATCGAGG